TGATACATCAGTGTAAAAGCTTGTTTACTTGCTGCTGCTGCTGCTGCTGCCTCTTAATGCTTAATGCAGAAGTTTAGTTTCCACACAAGTCTGCACATAATGTGTGAAATGTAAATACTGATCTCAGAACAGTAGAAGCTGAGTTATGGACAGTTTAAAAAGCACACTTTGGCTATTGCTAATCAATAGTCAAAGATCCCAGGATTATCCTCAATGCGCAAACCTCTGAATTAAGCTGCTGTACTCTTTGTCAACAGGACATGGTCACACCCCAAAGACTGACAGAAACTATAGATACTACAGCTGAAAGTCTAATTCGTTTTCAGAGACAATATCCTGCTGCCACCACTAGAGGGCAGCATGTATGTATGTAAACATGATGAGTGAAACAGGCACCAGATTCTTTATGAGACAGAAGCTGTTCTGAGATCAGATGTCACTTTACTTCAGTATCGTTAAGTAACTGATGTTTATATTTGAACACTGCTTGTCTTGTTGCCCTGACGTCACAGCAGTGCAGTAAACTACTCTGAACGTGTGTCCCTGTAAACTGTCGTGTCTTCTCTTTTTTACTTGACGACGTGGCAGGGTGTTTCTCACCGCTGATTCCCTCTGGCCGCTGACATTGGTCAAATTGCGCCTATTAACCAATGAGAAGCGAGTGCGATGACAGGGCCGACTCACGTCATCGACAGAAAGGAACGTTTTGCCGAAGTAGGGCCAATCAAATCGGGAGAAGTGCTTCAGGCGGCACTGGATTGGCGTCGGCCGGACGGAAGTGTTTGTGCGGGGCCTGAGTGTATGATGGTCGGTCATCGGAGAGGAACGAGGCGGTGAAAACGACGGGAGATAGGAAACGCAGACGGTGAGAGAGGTGAAGCTTCCAGCGCACAGGTGAGACTTCAGTGTGTGTTGTGCTTCATATTTACCCTGAGTTTTTTACAGAATGACTGACTCTGTTCATCCTGCAGCATCCTTAATAATTCCCAGTTTACTGCGTTATTACATCATTTATTTGATAACTGCAGAAGATCATAGAAAACGAAACAAAGCCACGAGGAAACAACAGTATAGGTATTAAAGAACAGGTATGCTACATGTTGAGCTTATTAGATATAGGCATATATACGTTTTACAAAGAGGAATTTAAGAATACAAATTTACTTACTTTCAATATGGAGAAGGTCATGGATGTATCCATGTATTGTTAAATAGATTAAATACAGGCTAAACAATATTTCACATGAGAAAAAATATTTTAAATATTTTTTTGAATCTAAAAATGGAGAAATCTACACATTAAATATATGTAAAAACAAAGTTACTGTATGTCAAGTAAAATGAAGTTGTTAGTATCAGACCAGTGTTTTTGTGTGAAAATGCTGTGCAACGATGATGATGATGAATGTGTTGTTACACACTGAGGTTTCTGCTTTATGTCACGATGAACCTCCTCATTCCTGTCATCTCTATTGTGTGTAATGAAGACAGAAAAACAACCAGGAAAAATACATTCAGTTACCGGCTGTAGTGAAAGTACTCGTATCACTTCCTTCAGTGAAACTAAAAGGAAAAAAAACTCAAGTAATGGTTCTGCAAATGACATTTTACTGAGGTAAAAACAAGTATTATCAATACAATGTACTCTATGTTAAATGACTTATGTCAGTGTTTTAGTTTTTTTATTTGTTACTGATGAATTAATATGTAAGCAGAACTTTAATGTTATATGTAAAGTGATTACAGTCAAAAGTACAATGTTTCCCTCTGAAATGCAGTGAAATATAAAAAGGCAGTACTCAAGAGATACTCAAGCAACAGGCAATTAACAGCAGTACTTACTTTCCAGTGCTTGTAATTCAATTTTTTTTTGTAAAAAAATGAGATAATCTCCTGATGGCTTCAGTTGATCTCAGATCAGACACAGACCTTCGATATGAGATGTCCTTATGTTTTATGTCTCTCTCTGTCTCAGTGTGTCAGGATGATGCGTCCACTGCTGATGTGTTTTATCCTGTGCGTCGTTCATGGCAGCAGTAAACCCACGGAGCAGAAGACTCGAGTTCTTCACCAGGAACCTCTCAGCCATGTGGAGCACGACGACAACAAAAACTACGACTATGACCACGAAGCTTTTCTGGGTCAAGATGAAGCTAAAACCTTTGAACACCTCCCACCAGAGGAGAGCAAACGGAGGCTCGGGTGAGTTCATCCTAATCATCATCACACCATCACCATGGAGGCGCAGTTTTAATATTAATGACAATGACCTACTCACAGCAGACACATGGAACAACAGTCAGTTCATGTACAGACTCCTTCTACACCTGTGTGTATCACCTGTGTACCTGTCACATGACTTCTCTGTTTAAGGAACATCTTCCTCTAACCGTCTTCACAGTGGCATATTCCACAACCGGTTCAACAAGTTCTGGCTGTGTTGATTTTTTTTCTTCATTTGCACAGAGCCTGAAGTTTATTCAAGTTCACATTATAAGTACATTATTAACAACTGGTCTGTTTCTCTGCAGCATCATCGTGGACAAAATCGACAGTAACAAAGACGGTTTTATCTCTGAGGAGGAGCTGAAGGTTTGGATCAAAAGTGCTCAGAAGAAACACATTTACGACAGCGTGGAGCATCAGTGGAAAGACTTTGATATGAATGGCGACGGTCTGATCAGCTGGGACGAGTATAAAAACGTGACATATGGGAGTTACCTCGGTACGTGACTCTGGTGAACCCAGACTTAGAACACACAATCACAGTTAAAGATTTATCTGAGATGGATGGTGAATGGGGCAGTGTGGGTTTTAGCAGGCGAGGGGAGGGGTTTAGATGATCAGGTGAGCGAGGCAGATGGAGAGTGGAGCAGGTAAACAGGGACACAAAGGTTAGAACTGAACTAAAAAAATAAAAATGAAAACACGGAGATATACTGCTGGACAGCAGGTGTGCAGACAGGTTGGCAATCACGCAGGTGGGATGGAGGGAGGAGTGCCACGCCCACAGCGCACACACACACACACACACACATAAAGAGACAGACAGAAAGGAAACAACTAAAGAACTGTAGAGACCACGTCACACTCAGTGTCAAATAGGTTAATATAGTTTTACTAACTAAACACATTCAAACAGCAGAGACATATGATTGATCCTCTGATCAGTTGATTGATTGATTGACAGATGACCCTCAGACAGACACAGAGTACAACTACACCCACATGATGCTGAGGGACGAGAGACGCTTCAAGGCCGCTGACACAGACGGAGATTTGATCGCAGACAAACAAGAGTTCACAGCTTTTCTTCATCCTGAAGATCACGAACACATGAAGGACATCGTGGTACAGGTGAGAGTGACGTCACTGAGCTGATGTGATGTGACTGAATCTTACATACGATATACTTATATTTACACCTGTCTGCTCACTACCACAGGAAACGGTAGAAGACATCGACAAGAACGGAGACGGTTTCATCGACCTGAAGGAGTACATCGGTAAGAAGTCAGATCAGACCTCAGTATAAACTAAACTCCTGTGTGGCACCTGAACCCAGACCCTCCTAACCGCTGATCACTGTGTGTGTGTGTGTGTGTGTGTGTGTGTGTGTGTGTGTGTGTGTGTGTGTGTGTGTGTGTGTGTGTGTGTGTGTGTGTGTGTTGGGAGGGGGTCTGATTTATGAGGAATTTATCCAAAGGAACTCTGAGTTTGTTCCTCCACTGTTAGTCGTTCTCCTCTAATCTCTCCTGCAGGTGACATGTACACTGCAGAGGGTGATGATGAAGAACCAGAATGGGTGGCAACAGAACGTCAACAGTTTTCAGAGTTCAGAGACAAAAACCACGATGGGAAGATGGACAAAGAGGAAACTCTGGACTGGATTCTTCCATCTGATTACGACCACGCTGAAGCTGAAGCCCAACACCTGCTGCATGAGTCCGACACCAACAAGGTGCAACTGTTTTTATTTTAATACAACTGCTTCAAGTTCACCTGTTCAGGCTGTAATCCTCACTTCCGTTCATCTCACTGCCTCATATTCACTTGTTCAGTCCTTGCGTGCTTACCTGTTTAACACCTGTTTTTTATGTCTTTGTCCAGGATGGAAAACTGACCAAGAAGGAAATTCTGGACAAATACGATGTGTTTGTTGGAAGTCAGGTGACGGACTTTGGAGAGGCTTTACTACGACACGACGAGTTCTAGACACACAGCTGATTTTTAGATAGAAAACCTGATTTTACAGTTTTTGAAGAATAATTTATTTTGTAAACCAACAAGAGAAAAGGTTTTATTAACATTGTGTGTTTACACTTGGAGAGTTAAGTTAAAAAACTTCACTTGTGTTTCGTTCACATGATCAGTTTCTGTTCCTCACTCTGATGCCTCCGATTTTACGTCGCCCTCTACTGAGTTCATGTTACTTGTTTTTATGATGCCATCAAACACATTCATGTTTAAAGACTGAACTTCAGACCTTTGAATAAATTTAACGTCACAGTTGCTGGAGATGAGATAAAGTGATAAGTGCTTTAAAAGTAATTGTAACTCCACATTTTATATCACTGTAAAACTTTACACCAGTGTGTGTCAAATTTGCACTCAGAAAATCACTAATCCATATTTTGGACCACATGCTGTATTTTGACTTTTACAGCCTGTTTATCAATAAAAAAAGAAAATTGAAATGGTTTGTGTTTGAGTGAATTCACGCTGCTGAACAGTGTGAAACTCAATGTCTAAATGCCCTAAAAGTAACTGAGGACAAAAACTGTTTGTAAAATTTTTATTACATTTTGTTGTTGCCTTTTGTCTACACAAAAACGTTCTACTATAAAACAAAGATCATCAGCAGCAGCTGAACAGTTTGTTGTATTTACACGTGGTTTTGCCATAGACCAGAATATTTAGCACATTTTCCCTCCATAAGTCCAACCTGTAAAAGGGTTTTTGTAAAGAAAAAAGTCCTCAGTGTTATTTCGTTCCAAATATTAAGAAACTGTGGAAACTGAAGACGTTTCTGTTTTTGAAGAAACTTCAGATGATTCATCCATTTTCTTTCCGAAGACTGTTTCCATGATGCAGGCGTTAAACTGAAGAGGAGGGAAAACAATGAACAGGATTTTATCAATAACTTTCTTTCATGAAATCTGACCTGAGGTCAGGTGGGGATACACAAACAGCATCTCGAAGAATGATCCATTTTAAAAGTGTTACTCCACCTAAAGAAATTAGACATTTAATTTTTAATGTCCTTTAAAGTTCAGGACATTTTTAAGGTACAAAGTACTGAAAGCAGTTAGTCCTGGTTCATTATATACAGGTGTCAGAGACTGATGATGATTCTCTCTAATGAAACACAAAGATAAACTGCACCATAATCTCCGCAGTCAAATATAGACATGATGGTAAATCACTGTCCTGTCATGAACGCACACCTGAACACACACCTGATTTATTCTGATAAACCGTTTTATCTTCAGTCTCCACATGTTAAAAGTCAGACTGAAGCTTCAGTGTTTGGATGACAGGTTCACCTGTCTGTAATATGTTCATCTGTCTAGCAACTGTTCACCTGTTGAGGATAAGGTTATGTTTGCTCACCTGTTTGTTCATGAAAGCATAGATGAGCGGATTGTAGACACATGAGCTCTTGGAGAAAAAAGCTGGGATGGTGACAAGTCGATAATCTTTGTGTTCGTTTGAAGAGTAGGCGAAGTAAAGAGCAGCGAGAGCATACGGGGCATAGCAGGTGATGAAGGAACCCACCATCACAATGATCATTCTCGAAACTTCCTTCTCCGCCTTCTGTGTGGAGGCTGACTCTGTCTGCTGGGCTGCAACCTGAACACAGGAAACAACGTTAACCTGTGCAGTGACTCAACAACGTTAACCTCTACATGACTCAACGTTAACCTCTACATGACTCAACAACTTTAACCTCTACATGACTCAACAACGTTAACCTCTACATGACTTAACTTTAACCTCTACATGGCTCAACTTTAACTTCTACATGACTCAACAACGTTAACCTCTACATGACTCAACAACTTTAACCTCTACATGACTCAACGTTAACCTCTACATGACTCAACTTTAACCTCTACATGACTCAACGTTAACCTCTACATGACTCAACAACTTTAACCTCTACATGACTCAACGTTAACCTCTACATGACTCAACTTTAACCTCTACATGACTCAACAACTTTAACCTCTACATGACTCAACTTTAACCTCTACATGACTCAACAACGGTAACCTCTACATGACTCAACCTTAACCTCTGCAGTGATTCAGTGAATTCAGTGAATAATGGTGGATCTGGATCTTTACTACAAAGCTCTGTTCTCTTCAGGTGTTCATTCAGACCTGGTCCTCTGGACTAATGATGCTACAACCTGAACCTGAACCTGACCCCTCCCGGTCCAACCCCCATCCACAGGGAACTTGTGAGTCAGTCATAGTCACATCTCTCAGAGTGATCAGTAATTGATTGATTGATTGATTAATCGATTGATCGATTGATTGATCATTTAAACTCACAGCTCTTAGGGCGCTCAGTAACTGGGAGTAGGAGAAGATGATGATGGAGATCGGACAGATGAAACAGGTCACCATCAGAAAGTTTACGTAGCTGCTGCAGTGAAACTCCTCGTTGTGAGTGTACCAGTCCGGTCCACAGGAGCAGCCCAGACCCTCAGGGATGTACCTGAAAATACAGGCATGGGAAGTTCAGGTGTTTATGTTAAATACATCAGACTTTGATGACCTCTGCTTCAGGGGTGTTACCTGCTCCAGCCAAAGAAAGGTGGGGTGGCACAGCTGACCCCCATGAACCAGGTGAAGGCGACAGCAGCCAAAGCGTGATTACTGCCGAACTTAAAGGCTCCAAACGGTTTACAGATGACCAGGTATCTCTCAAAAGACAAGACGGCCAAAGACCATGACGTCACTAGACCTGAGGATGAAAGGAGAGAGAGACATTCATCAGTAATTTACTGTGTTCACTTGCTTCTGAAAATAAATCTAGCGACCATCATGAGATGGGTTCACACCAGCTGCTACGCCTGTCAATAGTTTGAAGTGACTACCCATCAGTACTCCGTCATTACTACATTATTACACATGCACACGCATACACAAAACACCAACAGCCCTGCTGTCACAGCTGGTACTGACCCAATCTGATATAACTCCTGTACTTGTGTTTCCCTCCTGCTGCTGAGATGAAACTCAAATTAAACTCAGTGAGTTTTCTTACCTGCTATTGACCCCATGGCGGCCTCCATGGCACACAGGGTGTGACCCAGGAAGTAGTAACCCCTCATGGATGCGATGAACACCTGGCTGACAGAGAAGACGACGAAGATGAATCCTGCAAAGGAGATGTTGACGAGGATGTAGTTGAGAGGGACTCGGAGCTTCTTGTACTTAAGCGTCACGAGGAGAACTATAAAGTTTAAAGGAGTTCCGGCGAACAGGACTATGCCCATGAAGACTGTTTGCAGGTGAAAGGCCCATAGAGGGGCCAGATAATACTGGGGCCCCTCAAAGGGACTCACCTTCGAAATGTTCTCGAATAGGTGAAAATGTTTCCCCATGATGACCCTGAGCTCTGTACCACCCTGAAGACCTCATCCTCTTTATATATCCTCATAAACCACTTACTCCAAAGATTTAGCTGCAAGGGTTTTTCCAAAGTTTTAGGATTAAGATCGTCACATTTCCTTCTGTCTGAAGGCATTTTCAGACACGTTAATCTGATTACAGGTCACTGTAAAAACACGTAGATCACTTTGTGTATTTTAAATGTATAGACAGAGATCAACCAGAGTTCATGTGTGTGTATGTTCTGACATGTGACTTTAATCATCACAGCCTGAAGTCAATCTGATGGAAAGTGTGATCATATTAACAATATGAGAAACAATATAAAAGATAAAAAGAGAAGACGACCACCATCATATCAGACAAATTAAATTCATTCATTTATAGGACAGAAAATTTACTATGCCTTTAGTTAAATAATCATTTTTGTCCCTATTGATCATAAAAATGTTAATTATCCAAACAGGATGTTTTGATGAACTTTGTTTCTTTAGATATTTATTGTGTTTGACCTAAAAACTTATAATTTAAAAAGTGAAAACACAGAATGGAGATTTAACATGAACTCTCGGGGGTTTGGACAAAATCATTTTCTGTATAAAGAAACTCTTTCTTTTATTTTCTACAGTGAATTAAGTGAATATGTGGTTTTGTCAACAGCAGAAATTCCTAAAGTGACACATAAAAAAACGAGGTCTTCAGACATCAGTTGTTGTTTATCACTGATTGATCCAATCTTCATATTAAACCTCTGATAAACCTCACAGACCTGAACACACATTAAACCATTAACAATCAGTGTAGAGTTAAACCATTAAACCCATTAACAAACATTTTAAACAGTTTAACCATTTAACAGCTAAATGAAATGGTTGTAAACATGCAATTAACCACTTCATTTAAGAATTAAACAATAATTTAACTCGTTATTTACATGTGTTCGAGCGAGTGTTCAGCACCGATTCACTGGGGAGCCTGTTAGTACATTTAATTAAGTTGAATAATTAAAAGAGTGAAACACAGAATGTAGTGTAAAACATTATATTTATGATAGAAATTAATACTTTAAATTAAATTTTACTTTTATCGTTTTAATTTTGTTGTATTGACATTTGAATTGGTTTATTTCTGTCTCTTTCTTTACTTGAAAAGCTTCTTTGTTTGAGTGTGACAAACATTTATTCTTGTTCCTATTATTTAGTTTTATAGAAAACAGCCAAAGTTCAGACTGAATTTCTGGGTTTAAACTGATTAAAGTGAATCACACAAACAGATCAGATGAACTCACTAAACTGCAGTATATATACCAGTATAATAAAGTTTTACCAAGATAATACAGTGTTTACCCGTGTAATAAAGTATAAACTGAAGTATCTACCAGTGTAATAAAATATTTACCAGTATAATTCAGTATTTACCAGTGTATTACAGTGTTTACCAGTATAACAAAGTATCTACCAGTGTAATAAAGTATTTACCAGTATAATTCAGTATTTACCAATATAATAATGTGTAACCCACAGTTCTGCCTTGTTTTCAGAGCAGCAGCAGAAGCAGGTGGTCGACAGATAAAAGTCCAGTAAGAACCTTTTGTTTCTCTCCGTGTGACAGAGGTTTAATCCGGATGTTTCAGATTTACCTGAGCAGGTCGTCTCCTCAATCCCCTAAATCCTCCAAACATCATCTCAGAATCAGATTAGAGACAGAAAGTCTCCACAATTCCAACTAAACTGGTCTAAACTGGTATGAACTGACAGAGGCTTAATCCGAGGAAGACGAGGATGAAGGAGTAAATCTCTTCTTTAAAAGAGCCTCCTATGCTCCTTCAGTCTTTCATCATCACTTCACCTTAACTGGTCGAGGGTCAAACTGAAGACACAGGTACTATAACTTTGTTTCTCTTGCTTACATGTTAAATTCATTATCAATCACAAGTCTTTAATCATTCTTTCTGTTTGTCACTTATTCGCATGAGAAGTGTGTTTATTATGGATCCTCCACCTTCAGAAGCTGACCGATCGTATGACTTGACGACTTATCTTCAGAGCTGGGGCTGTATCATAACCAGGCTGTGAGTTGGATGAAACATGGGTATGATACGACCTCAGTTTGGAAGTGATTCACTGCAGCTTCAAACACAAACGGTTTTCCTCTTAAAGAATTTTTCACATTAAAAGTCTCTAACAAATCAAAGGTTTTTGTGATTATATTAATACTCTATTTTACCTCTATACATATAGAAGGCAGTGAGTGAGTCCAGACTGAAGTGTTTCTTTAATAAAGAGTTTTATCGTGAAAGATTTTCTGATTTTAAAACTTTGTGTGATCATAATTGTTTTCAGTATTTGATTTATTCCATTTAAGTTAGATTTCATATTTTTCTTTGCTTCTTGTTTCTTCAGTTTGTTTAATTCTGAGAGAATCAAGCAGTTTTACAGGTGTTTGGTGTTTCACATGGACAGGTGAAGGACCAGCACATGGAGGCTTTAGTCATTTTTTTTATTCACTCAGCTGCTCTCTGGGTCATGTTCCTTCCTGACAACATAGTTTACTCAGTGCAAAATGCTTCTAATAACTGACTATCCTCCTTGCTATTGAAGACCACTACTGCCCTCTTCTGTCATGGAGTGAACATCACAGATGCTACCCAACATCTCTCTTGTTGTGCCTGTTCAACAACTATACAACCACAAGTGTTTATACAAGCTTAAAGCACTTGACAAAAAACCAACTCAGAGCATATTGTGATATTATTCAAAGATATAACTTAATGATTGTTTATTTTATAAGATACAATCTGCTGTAGCTCCCCCACACCTCAAATAGTTTAACAGCTGGTTGTGAAATAAGACACAAGGGCAGACTGTTCTATAAAACTTCTTCTTCTTCTGTAAATTTTAGAGACTGTAGTCTTAGTCCTTTTAACATTAATGTTAAATGGCTGAAAGACAAACAGTCATGTTGTCATTACAACAAAGGTTAAGTGCTGGCTAAAAGCAAATCATAGCTGTACTGATTTCTAGGTAATTGCATCTCTTGTTAATTGTTTTTGTTTGACTGTTTGTAGCTTGTTGTGCTGTTGTCTCTTTTTAGACTTTTCTTGTGTATGTTTTTAGCTAATTGAAGGGTATTACTTATTGTGTTGTGTTTTGTGTTGTTTTACAATTGACTGTTTTAATTCCATTACATATGTAAAAGCCCAATTAGGGACATGAGTTGAGAATTAGCAACAGTTATAAATTCTTTTGTGCAAAACATTGCTTTCATACCCTGTTTTGAAACTATGTTAAATTGCATCATCCCTATCAAATAAATAAAGAAATTAAAAACTAAAAAAAGAAAGGTCTGTTAAAGCCTCTCTGAATGTTTACACACTGTCTATGCTTCAGTTTTCATCAGTGTTATGAAATGATTATGTTTTAATTGTTATATGTGTATATATTGCTTATGCTCAGGGACAACAGGTGGAAATAAGGCATTGTGCTTTACACTGATTGTACACTGTTGCTGTTTTAAATAAACCAAAAAATGAATGAAAATGAAATGATTTTAATGTTGTCCATGCTGAAATAATTATTAATGAAACAGTCTGATTAACCGAACTTGTGATTCATTTGACAACTAAAGGTTCAAACCTTCATTTGAATTAAAATAGTCACTTTTTAATTTATAGATAATTAATATACAGTTGTTTTAACATGTTATTGGTGACTCATCACAGGTCATCACTTCACTGTGGACAGTGTCTGTTTTTGTGTTATTGGACTGACCTGATAAAATGTTGCAAAGTGTCACAGGAAGGAAAAAAATACATAATTTTATCATTTCATGTTTCCTTAAATCGGTTGTGTGTTGTAGAATTATCACTTTATAAATTAAATGATAAACACTCTTCAGTTTTGTTTCAATTGCCTTCTGCTAATATAAAACTATAATATGATTAATTAGTGTTGACATAATACAGCACCTCAGATCCAAAACACTGCACAACTTGTGCAGCAGTAAAAAGGATGGCAGGGTCTGAGCAGATATAGAGTGTGAGGTTTGAATGAGATTTGCTTTATTTATTACTGTTTACAAAATGAGTTCCTTTTTAATGGATTTCTGTATACTGTATATACCCATAAGAGTAAGATAAACTTAAAGATTCTTTGAAATCGACCTTGTTGTATTTGTCCTTTAACATGGTCATATAACATTTTAATTTGAACTGAATGTATTTCATTGTTTTTGTCCACAGCCGTGTTAAATTTAACATATTTTGATTGGAGTTCTGAGTGAAGTCCTCTTGGCATGACAGAGCGGAACTGATCGTCTTGCCTGTGTTTCCAGTCGGGACAGGGTCGCGGTTGCACGCGGGAAGCTTGTGCGAGATGGCGGTCGGCGCTCAGACCGTTTAGGACTCTTTCGGATCCGTCGTGTTGGATAAAATTCTGCCTTACCAGATCCCTGCTTCTGACCCGAGTTATGGAGGGGGGCAAACCGAGCCTGGCCCTGGTCTACCAGGCGGTCCAAGCCCTGTACCACGACCCGGACCCGGCCGGGAAGGAGCGAGCCTCGGTGTGGCTTGGAGAGCTCCAGAGATCGGTAAGAAAATGGGAGAGGCCGGGGAACCGGAGCAGCGGGGTGGAGGACTGAGGCGTCTGAGGGGGTTTTAGTGTTGCCTGCCTGGACCGGGTCTTAACAGTTTACTTGCTTTAAAAAGACCAGGTGAACTGAAGTGCGCAGTCTCAGAGGAGCCGCAGGATCCCGTTAGCATCACAGCTAAGCTAAGCTAGCTAAATGAATGGATGAAAACACAAGCTGTTAGCTGTGTGGTAGCTTCATTGGCTGTCTGCTGTCAGGTAATAAGTTCAACGTAGTCACTGTAGTGTTAATCACAGATTGTTGTTCTGTCCGAAGAATTAAATGCTTCCGTTTCAGACTGAGATTCTGTGTTTAAGTCTCAGAGGGGTTCAGCAGGCCCTGGCTGCTGCACAGTGCTAACTCTGTTAGCATG